CTAATGGTGGTAATGCTAAGCAAAAATAGCATCATCCCGTGGCGAAGGAGGACTGCTGAAAAACAGGATTAGAAAGGATGGATGAAGAGATACAAGAAGTTCCCTGGCACTTGGGGAAGAGGGGATGGTGGGGAGGACTTTGAAATGTCCCTTTTTCCACTGTGGGGAGGCCACAGGGAATTAATATTTAAATCAATTTTACTTCAGACTTCTCAGAAAGAAAGGAACAAAGAAAAGGAGGAATGAAGGAAGATTTCTACAGATAACAAGGATTAAAGCAATAATTAGATTAAAAGGTAACAACAGACAATGCTCAAGTATTACTATAATTGAGCTTATATACATACCTAATTGATTAGACAGATAGATATGATCATCATGCTCTGCAAATTACCATTAGCATGCAACATTCCTCTCTTGCCCTTTTAGCCAAACAATTCCCCTCCAAAACGTATAAAATTAGCAGTCAGTCGAAATGCAGAGTGTGAAAGATTTCTCCAGTTCATGAATAATGCATATTCAGTCCATGAGCAAAAGGCCAAAAAACACTGCAGATTTGACAGAGGTGACAGGAGTTCTTGTCAAATCCATGTGTTTAATCCAGCTCCTAAGGATACTTAATGCATTGGCGATGGAGGGGGAAAACGAAGCAGCCAAAATAACTACACAGTGTAACAGAAGATAGAAATGGGAAAGGGAACGTACAGATTACATCCCCCCCATGCACATTATTCACTGTATCTAAATTTTGTATTTCATGAATACCCCCTCTCCCCCCACTGCAGCTTTCCAGTGGCTGGAGTTTCAATAGGTTATAAATATTTAAGATACAGAATGTAAAATATATTAGGCAGACTATAAACCAAGAGTCTTCTACGAAAAAGGCTTTACTGGCCCTGAAGCAGACCCTCTCCTGTCATACTCTGTTAGCCCCCAGTCAGGAAGACCTGCACCAAGAACTCTATTAGTAGGAATTAGTACAAGCCTTCAAAGAGGAAACCAAAAGGAACCGAAAACCCATACCCTTTTTCCCCAGTGACAAACGACCTAGCTCCAAAATGGGGTAGAAGCAGAATGTAACTAGGCTTTTCAGAAGCCACAATGTAATACTGCCTTCTCAGTCCTGAAACAGAATTGCACTAAATTCCAGATCCAAATAGAAACAGAGTAAAAAACCCTAAAAGTACCCCAAATAACTGGCCACAACACATAATGTAATCTAAGAATACAAGTCCTGCAGGAGCAAGTTTATAGCGGGCAAAGTGAACTGAGTTTACAGTAAATATGGTGGGAATTAGATACCTTAAATTTCTTATACTAAAAACAGCCTTAAACAATAACCTGCTAATATCCATCAAACACACAAGGACTAATCATGTGAATGAACAGGGCAAAGGGCACCACGTCAGTTCCATGTGAAAACTGCACAGCCTTTTCCCTGTACAAGGTTCAGGCAGGTTACAGATTAAGCAGCATAAACTGGTTTATTTTCCTGGAGAACAGATTTAAAGAGTGCTTTGCAGAAAGAACAGAAACTACGAAAAACAGTTCGTGAGACAGGTATGGTGGCAACAGCATGTAGTTGGAAAGAGCATCAGCAACAACAGGCAGGAAACATCCACATGAGTCTTTCAACCTTTCAGCCACCATAATAAATATTCTGATGACAACTGTTGAGAACTTTGCATCAAAATGATTTTTCATTGGAAACCTCCTATTTGTCACGAAGCATTTTGTGAAAACCTTTCAGTACGCAGGGCTCTGACAGGATTCCTGCTGGTTCACCTGACAGGCTGCTGGAAAACCCGAGGGCCTGCAGCTCTCGTACAGTTCTGCCCTGCATATTAACTACTGACTCCAGATCTTCTACCCTTTCTGCTGCATGGCCATACTGGTATGAGACTAGCTATACTGTTTTGCTTTGAAAAACAGAATGGAAACATAACGATTTTTTCCAAAGCCGGTTTTGGAATTTTTTAATTTTAACCAGCTTTAATTCTGTTTTCATATGATGCCAGAAACCAGTAAAACCATGCAATTAATCCAATATGATCAGTGACCAAGAAATACCCTTAGGAATACTATTGCTTTCTGTTCAGAAACAAACATGTATTGCTAACCCCATAGTCAAAAAAACAGCTGTGAGACTATAGTGACCAAAAAGGAAACAAAGAGCATCTTCCGTCTCTGGAAGGGAGAAAAAAAAAAAAGCCTTAGAATTGGTAAACCCAAAATTCTCTCTCTACTTGGAAGTCACTCTTACTTGTGAAAAATAGCTTCTTGTTAGTCTGCCTCAGTTTGTTTCAGATGTTGAGAAAAGCAATACACCACATTTACCCAAATCCAAGATGACTTTGAATTTAAGATACACCCCCAATAATTACATTCTAGATGGAAAAACGTATGAATGCATTACAATGTCCCATGTCCAGAGTCTAGCTTTGGAGAGGCAATCTTAAATTTGTATCCCCTCCACCTCCTACCACTGCAGCAAGGCAAGCAGTAGGACAAGGCCAGTGGGTGGCAAAGTCAATGGTAGGCTGTGCGAATAGGGAAGTATTTGATTCAGATCTGGCTGATTCAGAGGACAGAGATTCAATTCATATATTCAAATCACTGTCCTGAATTGATTCGGCTGAATCACCTTCGGAAGATTCGGCACTGATTCAGTGATTCAGCCATAGGCTGTAATGGGAAATCACTGAAATATCTATAACTTTGACATTTTTTGGCAGATTTTGATGAAAACAGCAGGGATGGTAGCCTGTAACAGGGGGCCTTCCTGATGCTCAGGCAGGAACAGCTCACAAAAGGCACAGAAAGGCTGCAGACAGAGGCTTGTGTGTTGTTTCTACGTCCCTCCCCCAGAGCACTGTGATTGGAAGGGGAATCATGGAAAGATTACAGTCACTGGCCAGCTACAGATGTCAGTCTTTCCCGCCCTGCTCCCCCTCCCTCTTCTCAGTTTCTGTTCCCCTGAAAGACTGCCTTCCACATCTTTTTCTAAATCTTTTCCAAATCGATTCGGAGGCTCCAGGTTTTTTTTGGTCTCCTGATTTGATGCGGATTCAGTCTCTGAATTGGGCTGAATCTTCTCTGAATCGAATAGGGAACCGAAGCTTCACACCCCCCCATCAAGTGGCTTGCCCCGCTCCCCCACTGGTGCCTGCACACCCCAAACCTGCTCCACTGCTACTTGTCCCCCCTTCTGCAGCCCAGGCTGCTTATCCCCCTAGTATTTGCCCCTTTGTCCCCTACTCCAACACCTGCATCCCCCTGCGATTGCTGCATCCCCTGGCACCTACCCCACACCTACATCCTCTACCACCACTTTAGAAACCTCATCTTAAATTCAAGTAAGTATGATACATGGAAATAATGCAGGGAAAGGAAAGAAAAAAAACCCAACAGGATCTCTTGAGTGCATCACCATTACTGTGATTTGGCACAAATGGAGCAAACAGCAGTTTGTGAACTATATGCTGGGTGCAGACCTAGGCTTAAGAAGAAGGGCATCTAGTACAGACCTATTTATGGTAGTAAAGCATGCTGGCCTTCATTCTCATTTTACTACATCCCAAATCACTACCTGTAGCATTGCTTAAAACAGACTGAAGGCCCTCTTGCAGAACCATGTAGAAGCAGGCTCAGGAATCTAACCTTCCACTGAAGGGGTACGTTTCTGCCATTGATGGCAAAGAATACTTCAGACTGCTTTTAAAAACAGCCCTCTTCAGACTGAATTTTTGGATTTGCTGCCAGGCATAAGGAGAGCATTCACATTAGACACACAACAAGCAAAGACCTAAATTTCCATGAGTACTAGATAAATACACCATGCAAGCACCTGTGTAATTTTATCTTCAGCCCTTCGTGGCACCTGATTTTGAGCAGATTGGGAATACTGTTTACTGGATTCAGAGGTACAAATATGAAAAGCCAAAGAAGGTGAAGCCTCAACGGCAGCTTCTACACTGTTAGTTGGGTTATCATAAGCTTCCTGCACAACACTGAAAAAGAAAGACTCTCTGTTGAGAACATACCCATACTATCCATTTAAGAGAGATTAATGGTAGGACAAAGCTGCAAGCCAAAGACTGGTTTTTCTACTTGAGCTCAAAACAAACATCTCTCTTCAAAGTACCCTCCTTTCATCACCTCTGTGGCTCTATTTTGTTTCTTTCTCACAACTTCCATATTGCTGCGGAATGCCAATAAGCTGATACATTATTCAACTGCTTTCAGTACTGAAGCTGTTTTCTTGCCAGGACAGACTTTCTCCACAGAAAAACCCTCTTTCTTTAACTCCATTTGCAAGAAGCTAGCTTATCCCAGTGGAAATCTTATTTTAACTTCTACATAATATGCTCAGTCAGTAGGTAAATAGTTTGAGACTCTGGTTTCAGTGAAAGAACAAGAATTTACTCTACAGCACCTTGCAGTCACAGATTTTGTGTGCACTTGTTTTCCAAGGTAAAAGCATCTGTACATAAAGAGAAAAACCACTTGTTCCTTTATATTACTCCTACTCTGTCCTTCCTTTAACAATATGCAGAAGTTTATTGTGAGCCTGTTTTCCTCCAAGTACCTGGGAATGGGTCAACACAAATTTACTACGGGTTGGAACACAAAGGATTCTTTCAGAGACTAAAAGCAAAATAAATGCAAAACCATTACTTCTGCCTTGTAACAGAGCTAAACACTGTTCTTCTGCTTTTGAACTTTTGTTTACATAAAGGATAGTACAGTGATTGCTAAAAACACAGGACTACACTATCTGGTACAAATGAAGCTATTTTTCCATTTTTCTTTTTCTACAGCACCAGGAATACCCCAGAGACTCCAAAAGTTTTAACAGCATCTCACAGCCAGAAAAAAAAAGAGAGACACACCTGTGCCTGAGAGCCCCTTTTCTAGCAGCTGACCATGAACTGCACAGGGACACTAGAGTTCCACCCGACTCAGCAGTGACACCAGTACAACTGAGTAACAGTTCTTACCTTTGCACTTGCCAAAAATCCTAGAGATATGGCTACTCTTGCTCGTAGGTCTGGTCTATCTTTGGGCCACACGTATGATAACATCGCTTTGATAATTTTCCTGGCGTCTACCTCCTTCAGCTATTATTAGAAAGGAAAAAAAGAGCGAGATACATATCTTATTAGGATATTAAAGCAAAAGAAACAAAGTATAAATCCAAGGCAAATTTCATTAAAACAAAACCAAATTTATTCAAAATGTTCAAATTCTAAACTCAATAAGAAACTTTAGTATATTTTCTTACTGCCTACAGGACTACACCCAAGACCAATAGAAGCATAAAGGAAATAAAGATATGTAAAGCACAGGAAGAATGAGGGAAAAGGTCTGAAGATTCGTAAACTCGTTCTTTAATCTAAAATAAATTACTCTATAAATCCCACAAAGTCTAAGGCAGGATTATTTTTGGGACTAGGAGTTCATATTTAAACACTAGCACCTGAAAAAGAAAAAGTTACAAATCAATAATTATGCCTTTAACTAAAAGTATTATAAATAAAAGCAGAAAAAATTAAAATTTCTTTCTTAACCACCTGAGACTTACAAATTATAAACTGGCCATCATAATTTCATACCATTTGCAATAACTTCTAGACTTCTGAAGAGGGTAACATCTAGAGGCACACCGATAACCTGTCCCATATACGAACGCCACCGATATGAGAAAAATTGAGAGTATTAGCAATTGGCTTTTTTTTCTGATATGGCTGATAATGTGGCTAATAAATGCCACGTGCATGTGTGCAGCCACAGAGCAGCACGCAGGCGGCCAGCAATACAGCTCGGCAGCATGGAGAGCAGCTGGGTCCAGCTGGTTGGTCTGTTGTGGGGGGAGGAGCAAGGGTGGAAAGTGCAGATCAAGGCCTTGGTGGTGAGGGAGGAAGCGGGAATGTGGCTGGGGTAGGGGCGGGACACCACCCCCAACAAGAAGAGCCCAGCGCAGCCCTGGCCCCAGCCCACAGTAGCAGCCCACCCTGCCCCGCACAGACCTGGGGGTATATGCCCCCCCGCCTCCCAGGGTGTATGCAGCAGCAGGAGCCGCCACCCTCCTCCCCACACCCCCTGGACAAGCCGTGGGTCTGTCCTGTGCCCTGCCCCACACCAGTTGGGCAGCACCTGCCCCTGCCCTGGCCCAGCCCCAGCCCGACTCCCTCCCTCACTGCAAGGGCCACGATCTGCATCCCCTGCACCATGCCCCTTCCTTCCCACCACCCCTTCCCCCACAACAGACATACCAGCCAGACGTCACTTTCCATGCTGTGGGACTGCATATTCGAATCGGATCGGTATCGGCCCAAAAAATCTCTATCAGTGGACCCCTAGTAACATCTCTTAAATGTGTTAAGAGATTCAGACTCAAATGACCTATTTTCCATTACCATTTTATTAGTTCTCCCGGTCCCATAATAGAAGAACAAGGGAACATTCAATGAAACTGACACGGAACAATTTCAAATTTGATAACAGGAATACTATTTCACTCTGTGTCTGATTAGACCGTGGAATTTGTTGCCAGAGGATGTCACCAAGGCAAAGAACCTGGCAAGATTCAACAGAGCTTTGGAGTAATACAAGGAAACATTTTTGGAGTGGATATAAATCACAGAACAGGAAGTTAAGACAATTTAACCTATTAGGTGTTAAGATAATATCAAAACAGAGGTCAGCTAAGCAGGTATGGGGCAATTTACACTGCGATTTCAACTTCCTGTGAAGTATCTGCTGCTGGCCCCTGGACTAGATGGTCAACAGGTCTGATGCAGTCAGGCAATT